ATGGCATGGCCATTACCCAATTTTAACATCCAATCATCTATTGTGCTGTGAAATCACCTGATGCGAGCCATATCTTGTTGTTCTCTCGCCCTGTCTCCTTATCTCTGCAGCCAAAGTTACTTTATCAGTCACATTTATTCAACACAATTTACTTCAGTTTGCATAATTTCAACATTTCTTGTCGTCTCAATTAGAAACATTAGAGGAGAGAAGTATCACTGGACTGCGAAACAAGTGAGCGGGTTGAGTTCAGTAGTACTTGTGGATGGTATGTGCTTACCTGTAGATGCAGGCCGACTGGCATAGGAGGGGTAGCCGTGAGAGTGTCCAGGGGAGGAGTATGCAGGAGAGATGGATCCAGGTTCCAAAGGGTCCAGAGGGGAGATATATCCACAGTTGACACGACGGTCAGGGGGGCAGGCTGAGCAGTGAGTGTGAAATCGTTTGTCTGCAGGTAGACCGATAAGCGCGACAGGAGATCTGGAGACAACTGGAGATGGAAAAAACGTTAATCCAAAAACAGGGGAGCATGAATAACGAACACAAGGAAGTCCGAGTTACCACCAATGGTAGCAGGGTGGCAGGCAGCGCTGGTTTAAGAGACCCTCCAGATAATGGCCCAGAAATTAGGAACAGGTGATGTGCTGACGAAACTCCACCCCAGGAGACGAGGACGTGGAACTGGTCTCACACCCAACCAGGCACAGTTTGATCCTTCCATATACTTTTCATTTCTGATTACTTTCTCTAAGAATGTGCTTTCTCTTGTTGTCTCTTTTCACTCAGTAAACTTCAGTATTTATCAGTCACAGTTCAAAAGTTGGTTTCTCAAAAATGACTTATTCTGGGGGTTTTCAGCATAATAAAATCAAAAGTTTTCTGTTTCTCTGTCTTTTTGGCTGCTCCACTTACCTCATACACAGGCCCTTTGTTAGTTCTGATTAGATTTAAGATTTGATAATAAATTAAATTATAGGTAGAATATCTATCATCCAAAGCACATAGATTAAACTCTGTCACTTTGTGGTACATTACACCCACAAAAGCTGGGTTTTAGGCCTTTTACTTCACCTCTGGTTGGAGCTGAGACGAGGGATCTCAGTCTTCTTGACATTTTCAAAAAGTATGCAGGTTCAAAGGGCAATAGCTTCACTTTCCAGGCCAAGCACACCATCTGTAGGCACACATGTTCATCTTCGAAGTGTACTTTTATATAATTAAAGGGAGGATATTGGAGTGGTATTTTCATGCGATAGCTTGACTATCATACTGACTTCAGATCAAACTGGCCCAGGAAACAGAATAAATTTGACATCTCTGTTTCAAAGATCTTCTGAAGTTTTGTTCTGTTCTAATCCTATTAACTCCGAGGGTAAGTGAATGCAGCTTACCTTCACGTCGTGACGTGTGGCTGTTACCATGGACACGAGGCAACGACAACGCTTAGGAGTGAGCGTCAACGGATGTGAAGTAGCTAAAAACAGTTAGCGGAGCCCGGGTGAGAAAAAGTTTATCCAATTTTCAAAAAGTTTGTTTGTTTACGTCTTTAGTTTGATAGAAATTAAAAAGCACGTTTTAAACGAGGTTACTTCTGTATGTGGGACTGCAGACATGCGCTATGTCCCAATTAAGAGACCGCACGCTTGAAGTACGCGCACTACGCGCACTACATACTATAAGTACGAGAAGTGCGGAAGTGAGAGGCTTGTAAAATGGGACAGTCTAGCCCAGGGGTCTGCAACCTTTAACACCCAAAGAGCCACTTGGACCCGGTTTCCACGCAAAAGAAAACACTGGGAGCCGCAAATACTTTTTGAAATCTAAAATGAAGATAACACTGTATATATTGTT